GGCGCGCGGGGCCGAGCGGGGCCGCCGGGCGCCTTTCCTGCGATTACTCACTCGCAGGATTCTTTTCATTCATAAAAACACAGTCATGCGGTGACATCATTTTTTCCCCTCCCTCGTCCCCTCCCCGCCGCGCGCACAGGGCGGCGAGGCGGCCGGGGGGCCCCCGCTGCCATCTTAGTGGTTTTAAAGGGTCCCCCCTGCCCACCGTCCCCTGCCGTGGAGGTTTTGGGGGGTCGTTACACCAGGAATTCGGGACCGGGGGTCTGCCTGGTTTGGGGGGGCGGCAGGGYGAGCACGGCTTTGCCCTCTCCCGCCCATGAGATGGGGCACAGCAGAAGCGCACACGCGTGCGAGCGGAGGGACCGCGGCGGCGAGGCTGGTGCTGGTGCTGGCCATTAACCGCAGCAGAGCCCTGAGGAGCTGCCCTTGAAATGCTTTAGAGCTGCTTTTCCCTCTTGGGAAAGATGGGGGTGGCGTGGGGGGAACAGGTTGTTTTCCCGAGGCAGTCCCGCGGAGCTGGGAGCGGTGCCGAGGGAGCGGTGGCTGCCAGAGGCTGCTACTAACGAGTAGTAATGTGTTTTGTCGGGAAGGAGAGCGCTTTTCAGGAGATTCTGTGGCAATGTCACTGCTCTTTACTGTGTGGAGGACAAGTTTATACAGATTTACCCGGGGGACCCTCCCGTTGAGTCACGAGGTTCAGACTGGACCCCTCTTGCTTCCCAAACTCCTCCTCAGATGGTTCCGTGTGTGGCTGGATTCCGTCTTAGCCCCAGCTTGGTCAGTGGTTTATGTCTGAGGGATTATGTGCACAATCAGTCCCGGATACAACTCAGGAAAACTTAGGAAGTGTCGGAARGCTCTTGCGTGCTGTGCTCGCTCCGCACGGATCTGTTGCTTTTCAGCCTTGAGGAGCAACCCTGAGAGGCGCCGCTGCCCAAGGAGGACCGTGCCTTGCAAGGAGAGCCCAAGGGGCTGTGGGGCCGCCCCATTTCTGTAGGATAAATTGATTGATTTATCRTAACTTTTGCCTATCAGCCGAATTTTTGCAGACGCCAGCCTAGCTGGCCCTGGGCTGTTGTGCCTTTATCTCCCTTCCCAAGGTCCATGGGAACATCCCACAGCAGGGACGGCCACACGGTTAATGTTTGGTGGGCAGAGAGGTAGGAGGCAGACACGAGGAGCAGGTAACGCGCTGGGCGATGGACACCGGGGCCGTGAGGGGAGGCAGTCTGGCCGGGGACAGCGCACACTCATCACACCCGGTGTCACCCACCCCGGCTTCTTCCAGGGCTCCCCCATCCCGGGGGATTGGGGGCCCTTTGGGAGATGTTGGGGAGCAACGTTGGTCCTGGGAGTGCAGYGTGGGGGCTCTCCCTGCCCCCAGAGCAGGGCTCAAACAGCCCCCAGTCCCATGCTTAAGTGCACATATATATATATGTGTATATGTGCAGGCTTGCAGGTTTGTGTGCATACGTGTGCATATAGGTGTGCGTGCATGTGTAATGCACGCATGTGTACATGTTCATGCACGTGTGCATATACACATATATGTGTGCGTGTGGGTACACCTGTGTAAGCAGCTATGTGTTTGTATACAACAGTGTATAGGCGTGCGGTGTATGSACATATATACATGCAGGGGAACGCCACCCTGCTGCCAGCTTATTATGCAAGCTGTCTGAGAGCAGGGGGAAGGATTAAATGCAGCCAGCACTGGAAATTTAGAATTAAAAAAAAAAAAAAAAAAGGCAAATCAAAAAAAACCCCAACGCGGGAAAGGGCTGTAGCCGATGTGCCAAGAGGGGCTCCGACCCGGAGAGCTGGCGCCCTGGCCCCTTTAAGAATGCGAGGGCGATCCCCGCCCTTTACCAAAATGGTGGTCGCGCCGCCCGCGAGGCTGCTTCCGCCCCTCACCAAGATGGCCGCCAGCAGACCCGCCATTACGCAACGGCGCACGTCTCCGTCCACCGCGCAGCCGCCCCCCGACCCCTCCCTACGCTCGGCCTCCTCCCATTGGCCCGCTCGCGGGGCGGGGGCTCCTCCCATTGGCCCGCTCGCGGGGCGGGGCGGGCGCCATAGGGGCGCGCGGCGGCCGCTGCCGGGAGCGGCCGTGCGGTAAGTGCGCAGGAATGCGCGCCCCCCGGCCGCGCGCGGGGCATTGTGGGCGCTCGCGGCGGCGGGGGCGAGGCGGGAGGCGCCGCCCCGGCCTAGGCCCCGGCCCCGCCTAGGCCCCGGCCTAGGCCCCGCCGCCCCTTCCCTCGTACCCGGCACCTCGGGGCGCTCGGGCCCCTCCGCCCCCATCACGGCGCCTCTCCCGGGCGCAGGGGGCTCCGTTGGGGGTGGTTTCCTCGCCAGGCTGAGGCGGTCGAGGCAAAAGGTCCGTGAGCAGCTCGGGCGCTCCCAGGAAGGGCTCCTGGATCAAAGCTGCTCCTCATGCTGCTCTTCCGCGCCGGTGGGTGTTTGCTCTTGCGCTTGGCTCTGCGGCAGGTTGCTGAGGTCGGGCAGCAGGACGGGGCCTGGCCTTGSCTGAGGTTGCCCCTGGCTTTTCCCCCAGGTCTCGCTCTGGGAAGATGCAGTTCCTCGGCCGGCTCGTGAACACCATCAACAGCGTCACGCAGATATTCACGAACCCTTACCGCGTCAAGGAGGTGGCCGTGGCCGAGTACGCGGCCCACCCCCGCCTGAGGGAGGACGGCCGCGTGGCCCTGCACAAGAACGGCCTGGCGCGCTCCTGGGACTGCCTCCTGGTCAATCCCCAGAGCCCCCAGGTCGCCTTCCGGTAAGCGATGGGCCCGCCTGGCCTGCTTGCTGCTCGGGGGCAAAGGTGTGAAGGGCTCCGGCCTCTCGACCACAGCGGGGCTCCTGGTCGGCGGGCTGAAGTGTTTGAGCAGCCAGTGACTTGGCCGGAAATGGGAAGTCCCCATGGCTGCTGGTCGAGGAGCTGCCAGAACAGCCTGCGGGGAGGAGGAAGGTGTCACCTGGCAAAGCTCAGCTGCTGTGGGGAGCAGGCCGCCACGTAACGGGCACTCAGGGCTCAGCATCTGCCCATGGACACGTCTGCTCTTACTCAAACTCTTTGCTGTTTTACAATTAGGGGCACGGGGTACTCGAGCCCCGCAGCTAATGTTCCCCAGCCRGTGCGAAGCTGCTCTGCCTTCCTGGCACGCTCTCCTTGCCATGGTGCAAGTCTGCCCTGTGATCACAGAATCACATGGTGAGGAGAAGGAGGAGGAAAGTGCTTAGCAGTAATGTTRGGAGCCCTTTGTCTCTCTGTGTGCCGGAGATGTGGAGCTCCTAGAGAGGGTCCAGCGGGGAGCAATTGAGATGATTAAGGGACTGGGACATCTCTCGTAGGAGGAGAGACTGAGTGARCTGGGCCTGTTTTCTCTGGAGAAGAGAAGGCTCAGAGGGGATATGATTAACATGTATAARTTCAGGAAGGGAGAATGCAGGGAGGAAGGGGACAAGCTGTTTTCATTGGTGGCCAGCGACAGGACAAGGGGAAATGGGCATAAGCTGAAACACAGGAGGTTCCATCTGYAGGTGAGGAGGAACTTCTTCACTGTGAAGGTGACAGAGCCACGGCTGCCCAGGGAGGTYGTGGAGTCTCCTTCTCTGGAGGTCTTCCAAACTCGCCTGGATGCCGCCCTGTGCCACATGCTCTAGGTGTGCCTGCTTGAGCGGGAAGGTTGGACTAGATGATCTCTAGAGGTCCCTTCCAACCTTGAGTATTCTGTGATTCCGTGTGACTTGCATTCGCCTTTGCCTTCCTTCCTTGCCTTTCCCGCAGGCTCTTCCAGCTTGACAATGAGCTGGACGCGGCTGCGCGCTTTGAGCAGTTTGCCGGGCAGCTGCGTCCTTTCTACGAGAGCTCCGCGCAGCCCCTGTCGCTGGAGGTGCTGCAGCAGCTTTGCGACTGCTTCCGCAGCCACCCCAGCTGGTCCGTGGCCCACGTGGCGGTGGAGATCGGCCATCGCGAGAGCTTCCGGCACAACCTCGTCCTCAGGCAAGAGGYCCCGAGGGGCCCAGGAGGGCGGTTCGGGCAAGGTGTGGGCATCCCGCCTTGGAATGGGAGCAGAGGAAGCTGCTGCTGCTTGGAGAAACGTCACAGTTGCAGTTACTGAGCTTGCAAGTTTGGCTGCCCGTGGTATCTGGCATAACGGAAATGATTGCAAAGGGTGACACCTCTRAGTCCCCTCTGGGGACCCCAGTGGCAGTCTCTGGATCTGTTGATGTTAAAGCCCAGACTGTTGGCGTGTGAGCTAAGGAGCGAGCCGCTTTGCTGGCAGCACAGCTAGAACTTGCAGCCCTCGTGGAGCTGCCCTTYGGAGGGTGTTGGGGCGCTGCACGCCACCAGAGAGCAGGAAGGRTAGCCCTGGCTTTGTGGAAATGCCTCAGAAGGGCATAAGCCTTTCTGCTTTTTCTTGGGAGAGATCCATTTAGGCAAGGGCAGAGCTGCAAGGAGTTAGTGGCCTGGGGGGTTTAGTTTATCACAGCACCCCTTGGTCGTTACCTCGTCTTATGTCCTCATTTCATGAGGGTGGTGGCAGATGCCCTGGTGGGCAGGAAGGGAGCTCTGCCACAGTGGGGGGCAGTGGCTGGCACTGCTTGGCAGCTCTTCCTTGGGGCCCTGTGTGTCTCCCACCAGCCAGGTCCATCGCGGGTGTCGCGGGTCCCTTTGGAGGGGCCGCCGGGGAGGCTCCGCGTGCCCCTGCCTGCCCCGGCGTCCCGCTGACTGCCGTCCCCCCGCAGCTGCGTCAACAGCGCAGACAGCGAGGAGGGCTGCACGCCGCTGCACCTGGCGTGCCGCAGGGGCGACGCCGCGTGCCTGCAGGAGCTGCTCGAGTGCCACGCGCGCCTCGACGTCGCCGACAGGAACGGCGAGACCGTCTTCCACTACGCCGTGCGAGGGAGCAGCCCCCACATCATTGAGGTGCGGGCAGCTTGCCGGGCTGGGGCTAAAAGGGATCTGCTGTGTGAGCGGGGGAGAGGGCTCAGGGCTTCCAGCAGCACCCAGCTGCTGTGTGTGAGCCCTCGGTGCTGACAGCAGCCCTTTCACCCCCTCTGACCRCACAGCTTCCCCTGAGCGGGCACCAAGTGCCAGCCTGCAGTGACACAGGGATGTAGAGCAAAAGATTCTTCCCCAAGTGGCTTATAGTGAGATCTGCTTCAGGCCTTAGTCTTGCCTTTCCTCAGGCCCTTGGCTCTCSTTGCCAGCTCAAGGAGCCTTCCTCGGGAGCCCAGCACAGCTTGCTCRTTGAACTGAGTGGCCTTGCACTGGGGACAGGCACTGAGACACAGCCTCAGGGCTGGAGCTTTCTCAATTGCTGCGAGGCGTTGGGCAGAGTGACTGGGTTCCTAAGGACATGAGGGGCATTTCACGTTGGGTCCTTAGGTCCATCAGTTCCGTACAGACTGCGGAAGAGGCTCTTGCCCACGCCTGTGTCCCTCTTGTTGCCCAATGTCCCTTGTGACATCCCTGCCTGCCAGACTGCGATGGGGTTTCCTAATCATGACCGGGGAGGGATGATGAGCAGGGCAGTTAGGACGTTTGTGATAACCAGATATTCCCTTCCCGTATTTCACCTTAATACCAACTTGGCTGTTTGTTCAGAGATGCTTTTAGTTCTAATCAGTCTCTTGCCTGTTGCATTTCTGTTCTTCACTGAACTGGAGAGAGAAGTTCTAAATTTCCTGCTTTCCTTGTGTGGGTTTCTTCAGCGTGGAGGTGAGGTATTTTTGTGTAATAAACCACTCGTCAAGTAACAAGTGTGAAACCTGCAGGGAGGGTAGGAAAATCCCTTTAAACATCTCTCCATGTGTATGTTTTCAACAGAATCCTGTTTGGGGTTGCAAGCAGTGGTGGGCCTGCAGGGAGGCTGAGCTCCTGGCTGCCAACTGGCCCTGGTAGTTAATGGGGCAGCAGCAATAGCAGAGGAAGCCTCTGCTTTCAGTTAGTGCTTCAGTTGGGGCTAAAGGAAAAGAACAGAAAACGTAGCTCTCCATCTTTCAGGAGAGAAAGCAAGGTGCGCTTTCATGGTACCCATGTTGGAAGAAGGGGCAAAGAGGACAGGCTGTGGTGGTGTCAGGAATGCAGTGCTCCAGGACAGCCCAATGCTCCAGTGTCCTTGGAGTTTGGGGAGAGAGAGACCGTGAGTGCTTTCTGTGTCTTTATTTTGGTGGATGGGTGGGTGACTTTTTCCTCCCTTTCTCTCAGCTCCTGGGAAGAGCCCCCACTGTTGGCTTGGACCACCTGAGCCATGAAGGGCTGACCCCTCTGCATCTCGCTTGCCAGCTGGGCAAAGAGGATATGGTTTGTGCTCTGCTCAAGTGCCGTGCCAGCTGCAGCGTCGTGGGGACCCTGGGCTACCCCATTCACGTGGCTGTGAAGTACTCCCAGACAGGGTAAGTGACCCGTGGGCCTGCCAGAGCAGAGCTTTGCCTCTCTGCAGCAGACCCGTCACTGCTCTGCGTTGCTCAAGGCTGGATCATTCCGGGGGCAGTGCTTGGTAGGGCAGRTGTCCTGGGCTGTCTTCTGCACTGCTGGGCTGGCAGAAGATTAGACATGCTGCTGGTATGGGAGAATAAGACAGAAAGTTGTTTTTTCAGCCTTTTTGTCTTTTACCTGTCTTCTCCTGGTGTCTGATATTATATGGACATCTAGAGAAAAGTAAAAATAATGTYTGTGGAAAACCCTCTTGCAAAAGGAGCTGTGAGGGGATGGTTTAGCAGTGCTTCAGCAGCATTGGTACTGCTGTACCTCTGTCTTTCAGAGTGCTCTGTCGCTGGTAAGCTTTTGTTCCAAAGTTTTCCATAATTCTTTTCTCATGTGGGCCAGAGTTACTGCTCATCCCTAATAACGCTCTCTGGAAGCAACTCAAGAGACATGTTGTTGACTTCGTGCCTCTTTTTTTTTCTTTTTTTTTTTCCTTTGTCCTTTCTCCTTCTCCCTAGAGGAATTGGAGTCTCTCTTTCTCTTTTGACTTCTAATTTGTGTAAGTATTTAACTACTCTAGCTTTTTTCCCCCGAGTTTTCTGGGGAAAAGGTGGGAGAGGAGAATTTCCTCTGAGCTTCAAGGCTTCCAGAAACACCGCAGTCCTGTCCTGGAGAAATACCCAGATCTTGCCCCACAGCTTGGAGCTAGGAAGGCTCCTTTTGGAAGAAAGTGAAATGACTGCTTTGCTGAGGAGGAATATAAGGTGTCACCAAGGAGCTGTAGGTTTATCTGAAACACTCTGAGTGGGAGGCAGATGCCGACAYGAACAGAGGTCTGAAATTGAGGTGATTCCCACAGATCCCTCCATCTCATTGTCTCTGCCAGGTGTGCCCAGGCCATCCTGGAAGCAGATGCCAGCCAGGTTCACTCCAGGGACCCTCGCTATGATGCCATTCCGCTGCACTGGGCAAAGAAGGCAGAGGTAAACAGAGCCAGCACCATGGCGAGGGCCTGGGCWGCCACCCAGCTCCTGGCAGCTGCTTAGTCCCTTCCACCACTGGCCTGTCCCTTTCCTGCACGTGTGTGTAGAGCCTTGGAAGTGCCAAACTTGAGCCAGCTGCCTGAAACGGAGCCCTGGTGTGGAGGTGGTAGGAGCTGTGCTGCCCTGACCTGATCAGTGCTGCTTGTTCTGGGGATGGAGGAGTGGTGGATCCTTGCAGGGAAATGAACTGGCTGCCTCATGCTAGTGCTTTGGAGAACTGACAGCTCCTGCCTTCTGTCTTTGCTGGGGCAATTGCAGCACTGYTGCTAGACTGTAGCCACCCCTGGGGGGAGCCCTGCTCTCGCTGCCTGCCGCTTCCAGGGAAGGCTGCAGCAAATGGAGGTTTGACAACTGCGAGGGAAGTGTGAGGTGGGCTCAGAGCTGTGCTACGGGGGTTGCTGTCCATCTCTTGCCAGAGATGGCCTGGTGAGGGATGTGATAGGCAGTGCTGGAGCACCAGTATGGAACTCCTATCAAGAAGGGAACATTCCTGTGGAAGGACTGGTTCCCTCTTGCAGTACCAGATCCCTCTTGGAAGTGTCTGGTGGAGGGACTGAGCAGACATAAGTCTTCTTGGCTTATAAAGAGCAGAAAGTCAAAAAGCAGATAGCTTCCTCCCATCTGCAGGAATTTGTCCCAGGTAGTGATTGCTTGATGATGGTTTCCCCATGCCCATCTCCTTCTCCTTGGGCTTAGCTGTTTTTCTGTACTTGCATATAAAACCCCAAAGCTTTAGCCAGGTTGTGAAACCCACCAGGGAGTTCTCCGCTTAGCAGTCGTGTCCAGAGCCAGGCTTGCTCCTCCTCACCTGCTTTGCCTGCCTCTTTGCCCATTGCTTGTTAGAGCTTCCAGAGTTTGAGCTTGCCCTCACGCTCGCCGATTCTCCCCTCACGCCGGCCTGTCCATGGCGCAGGTGACACAGCTGCTGCTCCGGCACGGCTCGGATTTGGGCTTCCGGAGCCGCACCGCCGACATGGCCCTGCACGTGGCCGTCCGGAGGGGCCGCTTCGACTGCGCCATGGTGCTCGTCACCCACGGGGCCCACACCAACGCCAAGGGCCAGGACGGCAACACTCCGCTGCACCTGGCCATGAAAGTGAGTTTTCTGCAGTGTCTGCTGGGGAGGAGGGGTTGTTTTTTCCCCTGAAGGGCTGAGGCAGTGRCAGACTAAGGCCTGGCTGTTTAGAGCGTGGGTGCATTTCTTTGGGTGATGCCTTATGAGCACTTCAGCTARTGAGAAGAGGAGGGAGGGAGAAACAGTGCACTGAGGGGAGCATGCCCCCTGACTGAGCTTTCTTTTGTCCCCCAGCAAGACCATCTAGACATGATCAAAGCCCTCATTGTGTTCGGAGGGGATGTCGAGATCCCCAATGACTTCGGGGAGACCCCAGGGCTGTTGGCGGCGCGGAGCAGCAAAGGTGAGAGAGATGTTGGCAGCCCTGCAGGGCGTGTGGCTCCTGTCTCCCTTGTTGGCCAAAGCAGTGTCGTGGGGTAGCGACAACACGCCAAGCACGAGCAGCACTTCTCCAAGATGCCCTCCCAGCTTCCAGTCGCTTGTAGTGTAGGCACCTCCTGAGCTAGTGGCTAGGCTCTGGATTAAATCTTTGAATTCCTCCCTTGTGAGGCAGAGCTGGGAAAGCTGGCACCCGTTCCTCCTCTTCAGGCTGTGGTGCTGGGTGCTGCAGGCCGCAGCAGGATGGGGCAGTGCTGCTGAACGCCCAGGCATCAGCGGGCATGGGCTGCTCTTCCAAACAAGAAGTGCGTGGCTCGCACGCCTGGGCTGCGCAGCGCTGGGTACCCCGCTGTGGGCAAGGCCTGGTGGTAGGGGAGGGATACCCAGGGTGTATTTTTCCCCTTSCCTGGGTTTTTCCAGAGGCTTTCTGAGGGTCAGTGCTGCTGCGGATTTGGTAGCACGCCCTCCTCCCCTCCCTGGGGTGTGCATACACTGACGCTCTTTCTGATCTCTGTGACTCCCTCTTCGTCACCTAAGGTGCGAACCGGAAAGTGCTCTTAGACCTGCTGCAAACTGTAGGGACCGAACGCTGCCACCCACCCAACCCTGAGTCCCCATGCCTAGCACCATCTGCGGCCTCCCTCTTCGTGGAAGGGCAGCCTCCCCCACGGAGCAGCCTCAGCAGCTTAGGTAATGCCTTCCCTGGCCCTCCCTCGCTCTCCCCCCTTCTTGCTTTGCAGTCCTCTCTCAGATCTCTTCTCCAGGCTGCCAGCAGTCTGGGGACTGTCTCCTAGCTCTCAGTTTCTCATGGCTATTCTCATTCAGGTGTTGCAGGATCCGGGCTCTTCTCTCTGTTTTTTTCCAACTGTGTAAACTCTCTGAATTCCTTTTGTTTTATAGGCCTGACACAATGCAGCTATGTAAAGAGGAAAGGGAAAACCAAATTCCTCACCCCACTGGAAGCAGTGTAGGCTGTATTTGCCTCTGTGCACTTTGTCCACCGGATCGTGTACGGATGGGAAGAGTTTCCTGGTCTTCCTTGAGGACACCACAGTGTCATATCAGCTGGCACAAGGAATATAGAAGTGTCTCACTCAGATCCTGGAGATCAGCTTGGAGAAGGAAGGGATGCAGTTTAAGGAGCAGTCATCCTGGGCACTGAGTTGACATTACGCATAGGAAGAGTCAAGCTCAGGACATCTGGTTGTGTCCTGGCTTGTGCTCTGTATCACCTATCCAGTCTATGTGAATAAGCCCGTGGGTCTATATTAGGTGTTGGGGATTTCCTCCTCCAGGAAGCTCTGTGGCTCAAGCTGAGGCAGCGTAGGCAGTTAGTGGGTGGCTTGTGGGTGGATCGAAAGGGGACACATGAGGAAGTAACAGCCCCTCTGGTCCAGTTCTTCTCTCTGCTTGGTGCCCTTTGGTGCAAAGGACCCTCCTTGAGGCTAGAGAAGAAGCTTTCCTCGGCCCTGGAGTGCGTCCGTCTCCACAAGGCCACCAGAACTGTCTTCTGACTGGTGTTGTCAAAGTGCCTTCTCTAACTCTGATGCACTGGCAAAGTAAARCCCCTTTTGACATGGCCTGTGGCTCTTGAAGACACTCCTGACCGTGTTCCTCCGCAGTTTATGRCCACTTTCTCGTCCTGGCACTAGCAGTATTTGACTCCTCTTCCCCTGTTTTTTGTTTGTTTTGTTTTTCTCTTGGTTTCACAGGCCAGCTTGTCACCTAGGTCTGACCGGTCCCTGATACCCAGGACATCCTGGGCTTACATCAGCAGAGGGGTAATGAGAAGCCACCCTGTCCCCAGAGCTCTCCTGCCTAGGTTACCTTGCAGGAGTAGACCTAGGTTACCTTGCAGGAGTAGACCTAGGTTACCTTGCAGGAGTAGACCTAGGTTACCTTGCAGGAGTAGACCTAGGTTACCTTGCAGGAGTAGACCTAGGTTACCTTGCAGGAGTAGACCTAGGTTACCTTGCAGGAGTAGACCTAGGTTACCTTGCAGGAGTAGACCTAGGTGTTGTCTCATAGTTTGCAGTAAGCTGTGTAGTGGGCGTGCTGCTGGCCTCTGCCTTCTCTCCTGCCTACGTTGTTCATCATCTGCTTTTACAAATCCTTCCTCTTTGCCAGTGCAGCTCTCTGCTCCTCCAGGATGGGGCTGCTCCTCTCTGGGGAGGCGTAGCATTTGGGGAGGAGAAGGGCAAGGTGTCTGGTGGCTATGGGTGAGACGTGTCCCCTGCAGGGAGTTGTACCCCATGGAAAAGGGAGTTGGATTTTTCTGTGTGATTATGGTAGAAATAATTTCATGCAGAGATGGGAAGTTCAGGTAGTCCAGGCAGCTTTGTGGAGGCGAAGGAGAGAAAGTAAGAAATAACAGAGGGTTTTCTAGTTCATTATAACTTAGCCTAATGTCCCTTGGAAGTGTTTGCAGGAGGGTTCAGATAGCAAAGTGGTATCACTAGCATAAAAACAATTCTTATATGAACATTGGAGTGGTGGAATGGGTTTGCAAGGAGCATCTGGAACATAGGGAGTAAAGTAGGCAGGTCAGGAGGAAGCCCTCTTCTGCTCTTTGCAACCCTGCTGCTGCAGATAGATTGCAGATGGATTGCAGATGGATTGCAAACCAGTTCTGACTCCCTTTGCTCTGTAGCTGCTCTAAAGATGCCTGCATCTCTTTCTCTCCTGTGCACACTCATTTATTTTGAACTTGTATTTAGTTTTCCTCTTGCACATTCATGGCCCTGTAGGGTACCAAGACCTTCTCTATGTTTCCACGGCGGTTGGACAGATGCTGAAGACACCAGACTCTGTGGACTCACCTAGCGAGGGAGGGAGAAAGTAAGTRAGAAACAGCTTGTGTCTGCCCATGCAGCTTGCCAGTGGAAGCTGGGTATGCAAATTCCTCTCTACCCACGTGTTTCAGAGAGCTGACATTATTTAACATCTGCAATACTGTATTTTTTTGTGAGAATTTCCCCTTCCTCCCTGTAGTGGTAAGTCTCCATTCCTACAAGCAACTTCTGTTCTTGCTCACAGCTCTGGAGCTGCAGTGAAGCCTGAACTCAGCAGATGAAGCCCCTGCTCCATCGCTTCCTTTTGCTGTGTGACTTCCTTTGGCTGAGTGACTCCCTATCTCCCTGTGCTGCCCTGATGGTTGTGCAGCTTTGCYGGCCTGTGCACTGCCTTGGCAGCATCTGCACGTCACCTTGGATGAAGCAAAGGGAGGGCTGGCACTGGGGTGGTCAGAGAGCAGAAGTGCTGCTAGCATGGACTTTGGGACCTGTTTCTGCTCCCAAGGCAGTGTTCATTACTGTGCAATAAGGGGCTTGCACATGTTTCTAGCTTGCAAGTGTCTCCAATGCAGGGCAAAGTCAGAGATGGAAGAGAGATCGAGCAGTGTGGCACCAGTGGTGATGCTTGTTTGGCCATGCTCAGGATGGACCTACTTAGCTCAGCCCTGCTTGGATCTGGGAAAGCACTGCTGGGTTTGAATGAGCCCCACGAGCCCTGTCTGTCTCTGCAGTCACGACCGGCTCCTGTGCCTGGATGGAGGGGGCATCCGGGGCCTGGTGCTCATCCAGCTCCTCCTGGCCATCGAGAAGGCTGCGGGCCGCCCCATTCGGGAGATATTTGACTGGATCGCGGGGACCAGCACCGGGGGAATCCTGGCCCTGGCTATCGTGCACGGTGAGCACAGGGCAGGGAACGGGGTCCATTCCYGCTCCTCTGCCTGCGGGAGCAGGAGATACGAGCTGGAAGCAGCCCCAGGAACGCRGGCTGAGGCTGCTTGCCCTGCCTAAGAAGGGAAGGGGCGTTCATGAATGAAAGCCTGCGTCTTGTTTCTGTGCTTGCTTCTCCTGTGAGCTGCCCTTGAGCAGCTCCCTGGCTTGCAGGAGGGGGTGTGGTGCASGAGGGCAGCTCTTCCCCTCTCTCTAAGGCGGCTTTGCGACAGGATCACTGACACTCTGGTAGTGGGAAGCTGAGCTCCAGTCTGGTGCTTTTTGTTTAATCTTCCCAGTGCTGCTGGGACAGGCAGCCAGGGGAGGGAATGGGGCTGGGAACAGCAGCTCCCGTTGCCCCCTGCTCCGGGAAGGTCCAAGCTCTCTGATGCTCTCTCTGTTCTGCCTGCCCTTCCTGTCGCTCTGTGTTCCTGCCGACGCTGCTGCCTGTCTCAGGGAAGTCCATGGACTACATGCGCTGCCTGTACTTCCGCATGAAGGACATGSTGTTCCGGGGCTCTCGGCCCTACGAGTCAGAGCCCCTGGATGAGTTCTTGAAGAAGGAGTTTGGGGAAAACACCAAAATGACAGATGTCCAAAAACCCAAGTAAGTGCTGCAGGGGGTGGCACTGATTGATGCTTTCCCAAGAGTACTGAGTACTGTCCAGCCTCTTAGAGCAGATCTGGAGGAATGTGATGTGCAGGAATTGGAGCTGTGAGTGTGTTGTTTTCCATTTTATCCTTGTTCTGTCCCCCTAGGGTCATGGTGACGGGGACACTGTGTGACCGGCAGCCGGCTGAGCTCCACCTCTTCCGGAATTACCCTGTGCCCGAGACAAAAACCTCCACAGAGTACAAGACAACTGCCTCTTTCAAACCGCTGACTCGGCCGGAAGGTCAGTGCTGCCATTCYGAGGTCCAGGTGGCTGACTGGTGAGGGTCCCTCCTCTGAAAACAGGAGACTGATGATTTCTCCTCTGCTCTGAAAATCAGGATACCTCTGGAATGGCTCATCCTTGATCTTGACTTAGTAGCTTGGTCCTAGAGGTGATTCCCTCCTTTTTCCCCTTCYCTCCTCTCTTGCCATCCCTTGTATTATGAATAGGAGCAGGTGAGGATATTCACTGGGGATGAGGTTTGCAGAGGAGGTCAGTGCATTTCCTTGGGTGCTTAAGAGCTGGCTGGAATGAAAAGGCTACCTAACTCTCAGGGGATGCAGCTGTCCCCACCTTGCTGCTTTTGGTCCAACCCATATAACTGATCCACACTCACAGTAGTAGCAACRAAGCTGATAGAGTGTAAATTAGGCCCAGGATACAGAGGAAGTGATGAGAACATCTTTTCAGGGCAGAGTTTTGCGTGTCCAAGCAGAGCCCCTGCTGCTGCCAAGATGAGATGCAGAACCTGCTGAGATCACGAGCATGTCCCTCTCCTGGCTGGCTGGCCTTGCACAAGCCAACAGGAGATGCYTTTTCACAGAATGATTGRGGTTGGAAGGGACCTCTAGAGMTCATCTAGTCCAACCCCCTGCTCCAGCAGGGACACCCAGAGCACGGGGCACAGGGCAGCATCCAGGCGGGTTTGGAAGATCTCCAGAGAAGGAGACTCCACAGCCTCCTTGGGCAGCCTGTGCCAGGGCTCTGGCACCCTMACAGAGAAGAAGTTCCTCCTCACATGGAGATGGAACTGTCCGTGTTGCAACTTGCACCCATTACCCCTTGTCCTGTCRCTGGCCACCACTGAGAAGAGCGTGGCCCCTTCCTCCCTGCATTCCCCCTTCATGAACTTAGACATGTTAATCAGCTCCCCTCTCAGCCTTCTCCAGAGAAAACAGGCCCAGCTCAGTCTCTGCTCTCCCTGGGCCCTCGGTGACACGGGTGCTGTGCTGCAAGGCTCCCCCGTGCTCTTTCCTCCCTGCAGAGCAGCTGGTGTGGCGCGCGGCCCGCTGCAGCGGCGCCGCTCCCACCTATTTCCGACCCATCGGCCGCTTCCTGGATGGTGGCCTCCTGGCGAACAACCCCACCCTCGATGCCATGGCCGAGATCCACGAGTACAACAAGACCCTCGTCAAGAAGGTGAGGGACGTCCTGGCCCTCAGCGGTTTTGGAGGCTCTGTTGGCTGCAYTGAGCCTTGCTTAGAGGAGCAGGTGGCTTAGGAATGGATTTTTATTTATGTAGTGGAAAAACAAGCTGTCCTTGCAGCAACCTTGGAGAGGTGTATGGGAGGTGGAATCTGTGTTGGGAATGATGACTTAAAGGTGAAAYGCCTCTTGTAATAAGGTGCACAAGATGGACAGGCAGGAATCGTGGGGGAWAGTCCTTGTCTGTGCTGCTTTAACCAAGGATGGTTCAGTTGGTAGTTGTGACTCATGTGGGTCCTTTTGTGCCCCAAATGAGTTGGAGCAGGAGGTGCTGGGGCACTCAGCGTGGCTGAGGAACAGATGCCTCCCGTGGCTTGACCAGATGCCCAGAAACATGACTAACTGCAGGCAGTAASTGCTCCCTGAACCGTGGGGAGGCTTTTCCCCAAACAGCTACCGAGCCCTTGTCACTGACAGATCGTTTTGTGGCCAGCTACTCCCAGGATTTATCAGGGTGATCCCATGGAGTTGGACGTAGCTCGAGATGGGTAGCAAGGGGCAGCGAGCGCTGCTTTATGAAGCCCCCTAGGTTATGCCTGTCTTAGCAGGCAGTCCTAACGAGAATCCGGAGACTGTTCCACCCCAGTTGTTGGTCTTGGTAAGCACATGGTTTGTTGGTCTGCAGGGGCAGAAGCAGAAAGTGAGGAAACTCGGGCTGGTGGTTTCCCTGGGGACCGGGAAGCCTCCGCAGGTGCCGGTGAGCTCTGTGGATGTCTTCCGGCCCTCCAACCCCTGGGAGCTGGCGAAGACTGTGTTCGGCGCCAGGGAGCTCGGCAAGATGGTCGTGGATTGTGTGAGTACTGGGGGGCAGGGAACGGTGGGAAGGAGCCCTGGAYGTGCTTGGGAGAGGGAGCGAGGGTTTCCCATGCTCGGCCCTTTCCTTTTGGAAGGAAATGGGAAGTGGAGTTTCCCTGGAACTGCTCTGGCCATGACCAGTTCAAGGAACAGCTGTAGCAGCAGGTGACCCAAGAACTGCTGGAGCAGGGGGGCTGAAGCCCTGCCTGCCTGGAAGCGTTTCAGGTGCCAGGGAAGATGCCCTTGCAGCAGCTCGTGTGCAGGAAGGGCTGTTGTCAGTGCCCCTAGGAAAGGGGATTCGGGAGACTCCCAAGTAYTGCTGCCCACAGGGGCTGAATAGCATCTGAGCGACCTGGCCAAAAAATACCAGCCTCAGAAAACAAAATCATTCACTCTAAGGATTAAAGTTTCCTTACTGCCACTGTGAGAGTGAGCTAGTGTTAGAAAAGTGGGAGTATCACTAATAAAAAGCAGTAGGTCAGCGCTGTGGTTAGGAGTGTAATAGGCATATGTTGTTGCAAGCTTCACAAAGAAGCTCCTTAAGATGTTACAAATGAAAACAACTCAAGTGAATGAAAGCCAGAAAGATCAGAATTAAGGTTCTGGCTGTAATTTTGATTCTGTTGCTTTATCTTCCTTCAGTTTCCTAAAGCCAGAAAATACCTTGGAGGTTTCATTTGCCTCCCTAGTCTTTTATGTTAGGCGTCTGTGGGAAATTGTCCCAGGACAGACCTGCAGTGGCTGCAGGCTCTGCTAGCATTGAGCTTGTGGAACATCAGTGGATGGAGATGGTTCCAAGGAAGTTGATCTGGAGCATCTCAGTGGTTTCTTTAGGGGAATCCTCTCCTTGCTGTGGGGAAGGGCATCTTTGCCAGCCAGGATCCTCCTAGTTCCCTCTTTCGCCCTGTGGCTTGTGTAGTTCATCTTGGTGCAGGGAAGCGGCTCGCAGGCCGGGGAGAGGAGCGTGACAGCGGGGCTGTAACTGCAGGTCTCTCCTCCTGCAGTGCACTGACGCAGATGGCCCAGCTGTGGATCGTGCCAGGGCCTGGTGCGAGATGACAGATGTCCCATATTTCCGGTAAGAGCTTCCTTTCCACCTTCTGCAGAGCTTTTTTTAGCCCTCTCCCTTTGTTCCTGGCTGCCGCATGAGTCATCCCAAGTCCTGCCCTCACAGAGGATGGCCTGCCCAGGCCTCTCTTACATAGGGTGAGCTGCTGAATCATGGTTTGCCTTGAATGGCAGCTTGGTCCTTGAAGGAGAGGCAAGGCCTRGCCATGGCCCTGCTCTGCCAGCCTCCCGGGTAAAGGGGAAGCGAGGGCCTGGCACCAGGAGCCAGCTTTTAATTTAACAAGTCTCGTGCCGAGCCTCTCTTGCTGCCCTGTTGCCCTGGTGTGTGCCCCGCCGGTGATGCTCTCCTGGCGCCCACAGGTTGAGTCCTCAGCTGCACACAGACGTGATGCTGGACGAGGTGAACGACACGGTGCTGGTGAACGCCCTGTGGGACACGCAGCTCTACATCTACCAGCAGCGGGAGCAGCTGGAGCAGCTGGTGCGGCACCTTCTCGCCCGATGACTCGCCCGGAGCTGCCGGCTCTGCATCCCCGTGTCACTGAGGCGGCCCTGACTTGCTCTGGAACCGAGGTGTTGGCGTGAGGGACAGGACTAGTAAGAAGTGTGGAATTAATATTTAGAAGGCAACACCACAATGCACATACACATGTATTCCGGGACACAAACACCTATATTCCAGGAGAGCTGAGAAAGGCTCAGGTGTGGAGGACTGTTCTCGCTGGGCTGTTGCCTGGTCTCTGATGTTTGTGCTTGAAGCCCAAGCCCTCAGTGTTGCTGCCCTGATGTGACTGTACAGCCCTTCCCAGCAGCTGGAGCTCCCACTTCTCTTGTGATCCAGCAGCTGGAGACTGGGAGACTGCCCGCTTTGTGTGCAGCGCCTCTAAGGGCCCAGCACCACACACCTTCCCACAGAACAGGCCAATATCAGATAAGGCTTCTAGGATTAGCTGCCCTGCTTGGCCTGAGATGTTTCCTTGTGCACAATATAGGGGGGAAAAAAGGGGATTCTTCCCTCAGCAGACGCTGTTTGAAGGGGAGTAAGCACTTTGCCCCTTTCTCCAGTAGATCTGGACRCAGAATAGTGCAGTTGGCCTTGAGAGAAGGGGAAAGCTTTTGTGAATTGCTTGTATTTGGTAACAGCCCTTCCCCTTTTCCCTCAGAGATGGGCTGGCAACCCAGCTTCTGATTGTGCCTCGTGGGGAACAGACCCCAGCAGAGGTGATGTCAGAGGGCACAAAACAGTTGTCCGACTTSTTATGATGTTTAAGAAGAGGGGCAATGTCCTTGGCTGCCCAGAGAGACTTGGGAGATCACCAGCAAGTTGATTGTTGGTCTTGGTTCCTAATGTGCAATTGAAATGCTCTGAGATCAACTCCTACCAAATAAACTGACCATGTGAAAAGCTGAATTATCATTTTTTACTTTTAYTGCTGAAAACCTCATCATGGATGACTTCTGCATTACTCCAAGTTTCTGCAGTATGTTTTGCAGTGTTTATTAATGATTTATTTATCTGCTCAGGTGAGTTCTGAGGAAGGACCTAGAAAAAGCGGAACTGTGAATTCTTAATATGTTGGTTTTGACGGGATGGAATACTATTGTGAGCAGTGTTGCTGTGCAAAACTAACCTGACCTGAATAAAGAGCTTGGGACTCAATTCCACTGTCGTGCAGCCCGTGGTTGTCTTGTCTCTGTCCATCCTGCAAGATCCTAACGGGACTCTGAGCTTCTAGTCTGGGTGTTTTCTACAGGTAGAAAAGAAGAAATTGGGCACCTTGAGGTATGTAATTGTACCCTTTATCTGGAGTAGAGAGAGGAATGGAATGGCCTGTTCCTTAAGCCAGACCTGGAGGTGTTTCTGTGCTGCGGGTGCATTGGCTGTCTTATAAAATGCAGCACTATAAGGCTTGGCTTGTTGCTTGCACCCAGTGGAAGTGCTTTGGGTCAGCTCTGATGTGAGGATCCACCTGGCCTTAGATCAGACTTAGCAAGAAACCCTGAAATCGCTCAGGATACARCTGCCTCCCCTAAGTGATTCCTTTAAGAGGTAATTGCTGCAACACTGATTGGCCTGGTGCCCCCGGCTCCCTAGGGCTCAGTGTGGGTGCTGGCCGAGTGAGGAGGGGGACTGAAACTTCATTGCCTGCCTTCTGACTTGTATTTTCACAAATGACATTACAGACTGAAGGGGCTACTAATAAGGAGCAAAGATTTTATTTTCTCATGTGATGGAGGGGCTTGCCACCTCAGGGAAGGTGTCTTGGCAGGAATATTGAGTATAAAACCTTGTGTTTTGCGGGGGAGAGAGCAGACATTCCCTTCTGCTCTATGTCTGCAACTTCCACTCTCTTTATAGGTCTGCACGGGCTTCCCTGGATAACACTGCTCRGGATCCTGGCAGGCAGGGAGAGCAGAAAGGTTTGGGCACGGGCTTGTGGAAGCAGGAGAGAGACTCAGGGCCCAGAAGGCTGAGACTGGGAGAAGCAGAGGACAAGGAAGGCAKTAAGGACTTAAACCCGCTTAGAACTTTGCTTGCTTTTCCCCGCGGCTCTCGCGTTGCTGCCTGCGCTCGCAGGCTGCCGGGCAGCTCCGCGCTGCGGCCGAGGGGGCTGAAGAGGCCGAGCAGCGCCGGAGCGCGGAGCCCCGAGGAGGCGGCGCTGGCAGGTGGCCGGCGCCGCGGGCGCTGGCACGGGCTGCGGGGTGGGGACTCGAGCAGCAATCAATAATTAAGGGGGGCGGTCACATGCCCRTGCTGGCTGTTGCAGGATTCCTCTCTCCACAGAGTCTGGTTACAGCCAGAGATCAAGTTCCAACCTCCCGGCTGGTGAATTATTAAACTCCATCGGTGCTCCGTTCCCTCCGTACCATGCTCGCGCCTTCCTGCTGTTGCGCCTTGCCACCAACGGACTTTTTCCATCCAGGCGGCACTGCGGGAGCAGGGTGCTCCGAGCCCGTGTAGCCCCGCGCACCCTCCTCTGCTCCCTGCTTCTGTGCGGGAGAGGGAAAACGCTTGGGACATGGAGCTGTCCTACAGATCCACCATCTCCATCTATAAGGTGAGTCCTGGCATCCAGGGCTGCTCCTGGCTGCCGAGGGGAGATGGRCGGTCAGGAGGAAGAGCTGTTTTCTGTGGAAGGATGCTGGGGGCGGATGGTGATGTTTGGATGCGGCCCGGAGCAGCCCTGGAGCTGTGTTTGGGAGCAGCCTTACGGCAGAGCCGGGAGGGCAGCTTGGATGGCCTGGACCCAGCACGTTTGGAAAGGGCAACGGGCCTGCGTTGCATGGACCAAGCAGGAGTCAAGCCAGTTGTTTTCCCCTGTGCAGGGAGCAACCGTATCTCACTGGCACTTCCCTGTGCAAATCTACGTTCCAGCAAGGCGGTAAGGTCTGGGAGAAGGCAGAATTCCCTCTTTGCTAGTCTCTACTGTCTGTCAAATGCCTGCTGTGTTGTAGGCAATAAATGCCTTTAATATGGCAGACAAAAGCTGAGATCCTAGTTCAGAACAGCCCAGCCCATCTCTTATCAAGCTCTTGAATCTGGTGATGCAGAAAACCCTAGCCCAGAAGACAACACTTTCATCCCTGGATAAGAAGTGTGGTCCATCGCCCAAGCAGGCTCAGGGGGAAAGGTTGCTCTCGCAGTTAAGCAAGGGGAGATGGAGCAGGCCTTGGAAGAAAGGCATCTTCAGGTGGTGGTTTGGCTCTCCAGCAGGCTACCTCCCCTCTGTCATTGCTTTGCTCCTGGCTGGAGAGGACTATGGGCAGCCAAAGGTCTTGSTTATCTCCAACATGGGGGCTGCATTTGCATGTAGCCAACTGTTGTCATGGCCAAGGAGCTCCCTGAGTTCCTGCTGGCCCCAGATGCCCCACAGCAGAAGGGCATCAGCTTGGGGAGGTCCATGCAGCACGGGAAAGACTGGGATTAACCTGCTTCTGCTTGGCCAGAGTATCCTGGATGAGTTCAACCCTGCGCTGGAGAACCTGGTGTACCTGGGGAACAACTACCTGCGTGCCTTCCACGGTGAGTGGTGTTCTGCGCGGCCCAGGGCCCTGTTGCTGAATCTGTCCTGGGCCTCCTCTGTGTATCAGACCGGTCTCCCCTTGCTTGCAGCTTGTCCTGAGCTGCTCTAATGCACTTCTCTTCTGCTCTAAGACCTGTTGTTGTTGTTAGGTGCAGTGGGGGAGAGATGGGGCGGCCCTGCCTTGTGGGGGCTGGTGAGGCTGAGAGGCTATATCCTTATCTCCCTGCTCCTCTACTTGCAGCGTTATCTGAAGCAGCTGAAGTCTATTTTAAAGCAATTGAGAAGATTGGGGAGCAAGCGCTGCAGAGCTCCACCTCGCACGTGCTGGGTAAGGGCCATCCCCTGCCCTGTGATGGGTTCTTTGGCATCGCTCCTTAGCTTCTCCATTTTCAGGTGTGTGTGTGGAGGGAAGAAGACATCCTCCACGTGGTCACCCACAGTGCCAGGCCCTCGTGGCCTTGGAAGGTCCCCTAAAGCCCAGCACTCCCCCAGTGATCAGTGACTGCACCCAGCTCCTTGGAAAGCACCTCAGGAGTGGAAGAAACCAGTTCAGCCTGCCCTGAGAGCTGAGRTTTTCTTAGAAGAACCATTTTCCTCCATGTTGCAGCTCTGAGGGAAAATCTTGAGAGTATGGACTGACAGAGTCCTCCTTAGGAGTCAATCACAATCCTATGGCCCCCATAGACCACCTTCCTGAGCCTGCAGCCCGCTGAAATGGCAGCTCAGATTCGAGGTGCTTGCATGCAGTGGTGCTGCACCCGCGTTCTGCAGCATGGCAAGAACTGTGCATTGCTCTTWGGGCTGTGGTGTTCCCATGTTGGCTGTACCTGAGATCTGGAGCTCAGTGCCATAGCCGAGCCCCAGCGGGGATGACTACAAGCTTGTTGGGGTGCAGAGAGCAGAGCGCTGCAATATCTGTTGGACTTTCACACCTGTATATCAGGCTGTTGAATCTCCTGCTGCTGGCATGGTCCCTAACGGCCACTTTGCTCCACCTCTGTGGGAGCACAAGGAAGCGACTGGGATTTTTATACCCTCTTCTCTCYCTTCCCCTGAAGGTGAAATTCTGATGCAGATGTCCAACACACACAGACTCCTGAACTCCGATTTGGACGTTGTGGTGAGTGTCTTTCTTGGGAGCTGATGCAGGTGGGGAAGAGAAGAATGTCATGACCCACAGCTTGCCAGCGTTTGTCCAGGTTGCCCCATTGTCTGCCCTCTTTGCCTCTTCCAGACTCGGACCTTCCATGTGGACTTGCTGCAGCACATGGAGAAGAACACCAAAATGGATGTGCAGTTCATTAGTGTGAGTGATGAACTCCCCTCCTCAGCCCAGCTTGTTTCTTCCTCCCCTCAACCCCACAGCTCTCACTTGAGGTCCTGAGAGGCTTTCCCAGCTTTCTAGAGCAAGGGTTGGTGGGGGAAGAGCTTCTCTGCCTCTGCCCTCATGGGCCACACAGCCCTGCTCTGTTCTTCGTGTGGTGGGAATTGCGCAGTGCTTCAGTGGGGCTGAGGCACTTGGCACACTGATCCTAGGGCTTCTGACCTTTCCATCCCGCAGCTCTGCCTGAGTTTGGGTCCTCCTGTACRTTGGCTTGTGCTGTGGTGGCCATACTGGCCCTGCTGGTGTGAAGTATCACAGAGAGAGAGGCCTGGGGCTTGTTCCCAGTGCGGCAAAAACTGAGATCTTGTTCTTGCTCCTTAAACTTGATGTTCATCAGCACTGTAAAACTATTCAAAGTAAAGAAGGAAAATAAAGGGGCTGGACTTTTTTTCTGTTTTTTTTTTTTTTTTTCCTTTTTTTCACAGAATCATAAAACGGTTAAGGTTGGAAGGGACCTCTGGAGACAATCTAGTCCAAACCCCTGAACCCCCTTCATTTAATGCCTCCCTAAAAGCAGACCCAACCCGAACTTCTTGGAAAACTTCTTTTGGAAGTTGGAACTTCTTCCAAGAAGTTCGGGTTGGGTCTGCTTTTAGGGAGGCATTAAATGTTCAATCACCCATCACAGCGGAGCCARCTCTCTGTCACAGCCAGCCTGGGCCCTGGTTCCTCACTGTGCCTGGTTTCTTCCYGGCAGGAGAGCCAAAAGCAGTACGAGCTGGAGTACCGGCATAGAGCTGCCAACCTGGAGAAGTGCATGACAGAGCTGTGGAGAATGGAGAGGGCCCGTGACAAAAATACACGGGAAATGAAGGTGAGTCGTGACTGTYGTAAGGGTAGTGAGAAATGAATCTGATTATTCTGCTAGAGCTAGGGCTGATTTCTGAGCAGCCTCATCCTTCTTTGGAAGCCAATGGATTTTGGTCACAAAGTTCAAAAGGCTGGGTTTTCCTGGAAAGGAGGAACCTCCATTCCTGCAGCATGCTGTTGACCTGTGGAACTCATTTGTGTAGGATCTGCCAAGCCTTTACCTTGTTTAGCAAACCCAAATGTGCAAGGACTGATCCTTTAGGCTCTCTCCTGGCCCTGCCGCGCTGCTCGAGCACTGTGAGCAGATTRGGAAGCTGGCAGACGTGACCACCCCTTTCAATCCTTCCCT